TGAGAATAAGTGTACAGTTCCAAAGCATTGCTAAGACTGAGCCTAAGTGCGCCAAAAGTTGTTTTTCTTACCTTACCCCCCCTGTACCCCCCTTAGTTCCTGGTCTTCTGATTCCCTTGCTGGTACGACCTTGAGCATGCCAGCGCCTGTGATAAGGAGCCATCTGCTTTTAACGGTTTCTCATTCCTTCTCCCCCCCCCACTTTACAATGGCAGAACCGCAGCATGTAAAAAGCAATTTCTAAACTAGCCATCATAACAATCTACTATTAAATCTTGCGAGGATTCTGACACACTGCTTGTACTGACAGAGCAGCTGTGACAAGCCCCTAATCTTTGTATGACCCAAGAGCGCCCCCTAAAACATCTGATAAAATTACATCAAGGAATTCGGGGGGGGGGTTCCCCAGAAAGCTGCTCTCATGTAATCCCATTTATATAGTGGCACAATAGTGAAAATTAGACATCATCTTTATCATCCACTAAAGGCTATTGGGAATGTAGATTGAGCCACTAGGTCATTCCTTCTTTGCGGGCTGGATCCAGGATATCAGAGACAAGAGCATTTCCCTGGGTTCAGTCAAGCAACAATCAAGTCTTCCCAAATGCTGGCTATCACTTACCCTCTGTGGTCTATAAAACTGAGTAGTGCATACAAAAACAAAAACAAAGAAGGTGCAATGTGGACTTACCTAACAACATCCAAGCAGAAGTCTGAGATAACTCTTTCCAACCATTATCCCTGCAGTGAATTCTGAACTGTGCTAAAACCAAGATCTTATCTGAGCAGATAATATATAACTGGTTTGGTTAGGCTGGCTGTACTTGGAATTCTGTGTATGATTGTTGCCTTCTCCATTTTTCTGTGTTTGTCTTTTCACAATATTTATGTTTAGAGATCTGGCTCTGGTAGTTTGATTAAGGGAACTTATGTGCATGACTGTGTGGTTGCAGAGCTAACCCTTGAGTTTCAGATTTATTGAGTTCTGCATTTCTGGACTTTGAGCAGGAAAGTCCAAAGCACTTTCTGTTTTCCTTAGAGCTTGGAGGGAGGGAGAATTTCTTGGTGGAAGGGTTATGAACTCCCCAGACAGGCAGGGAGGGGATATCTGGAGGTTCAGCCTGGCTGGGGGCAGCCTATCACACGTCTCTCATACAGAAGAACCCTTGCAAAAAGAGGTCTCCCCCCCCCCCCCAACCATGTAGCTGAAACTTTTCTCAGCACAGAACACGTGATCCATGAAGGAGGCGGCTGAGCATTTCCCACAGCCGCACTCCCACCTCCTGTTTGATTTCACTGAAACTCAAATGGAGTAGCTAGGGGAGACCCCTCCCATAACAAGAAGTCACAAGGACCTTGTGACTTCCCCAACCTTGGTCTCTGTCTTGTTACTTAACATGTTTGTTGTGGTTTCTTCCACAAGGCCGCGTGTTTGCAGGGCATGCAAAATAGCTCCTGCCCTGTTTAAAGTTTGTTGCCCCTGTTTCACCCTTACGAAAGTGTGTATTTGCTTTAAGTTAGAGAAAAACATCAGGATAAAGCCAGCAGGTCTCCTCGCGTATTTTCAGACCACACCTGGCTCAGCAGCGTATTGTGCCCTGCGGCCCTGTGGGCCTCCTGTGAGCAAGGCTGAAGAATTCATCTGGCAAGCCAAGCGGCTGAGCCACCCTGAAATGTTTTCTGGCGAGCAAGCAACACGGTTACATGGGACGTTGCTCTGTGGGGCCCGGGCCCTCTTTCCTGGGGAGGGAGAGCAGTGTTGCCCCTCACTGCGTTGGTGCCCCAGTTATGGAACAATCCTGGGAAAGCTCCCTTGGTGCCAAGGCTGTTGCCTTTCTGCTGCGCAAGGATTCTTTGCCCGTACTTTGCTAGACTTGGTATCTACATGGCAGGAGTTGTTCTGAAGGTTTTGTACTGAAGGAGTGAGTTGTCTCGGCATGCAGGGCTTGGATTAAGCTCTCGGGGGTTCTGCCCAACAACTGCAACATGACTTTTCATTTCCCAGCAGCAGAGCACCATCATCTGTGGTGCCCAGGGACTGGTGCTTGGAACCCTGCTGCTGGGAGATAAAGGTAAGGTCCCAGCTTCCCCTTCCCTGGCCTTAGGAAGAACCTCTTCTGTTCCATCCGTTCCCCCAGATAGCAAAGTGGGGAAGGTTGGGGATCTGCCCTGCAGTAGAAGGGGCCACGTTCCCGCTGAACAAGTGCTGCGGGTGGGTCGGTCTTCTCATTTTGCAGCCAGAGCTGGCAGGCTTCTGCATCCGGGCTCCATTGTTGGCGTGGGGCGGGGCAGGGTGGACAGAAGAACCGCCAACTGACTGTCCCCCGTTCCAGCCCCGGCTCCTCCGCTTAGTGGGGCTAGTCTGGGAGTTCCAAAGACGGCTTCTGGTTCCGGCTCCAACGCTTTCCTATGCTGGCCACGCTGATAAGGGCTGATGGGAATCGAGGTCCAAGATCTCCAGAGGACTAGTCAGCCCAAGAGGAGGATCCCCTTCCTGCATCCCCACCTTCCCCGGCACCTGCGCTCCCCCCTCCCTGCTGGGATCCCACCCAGGATGGCAAGCCTACCTGGAGGAGGAAGGAGAGGCAGAGCAGCAGCAGGATCCCCAGGCAGCCCATTGTCCTCTTCCCCTGCTCTCAGTTGCGCACAAGTGGCTAGCAGGTGGGTGAATCACAGGGCAAAATCTCCGCCTGGGTGGCAGTTTAGCAAGAGGAAGGTTAACCAGGGCCATATCCGGGCTCTCACTCTTCAAATCAGAGGGACGCGGAGGACAGAGCGCTGCTCTTGCGCAATGCCGCGACCTACTTGGGGGCAGAGGTTCTTGAGGACCCCGAGCTGGGAAACTGCTTTCCCGTGCCAGGCATTGGCTCTCGGATTTTAATCCAAAGCAGGTTTCCTCACTGTCAGCTTTAAAAACAAGATTTCTAAAAATAAGCCACTACGTAATTCTGTGAAGTCACATTGTCTTTTTCTGATTCCTTCTTTTGCTGCTCCAGAGATGGAGGGGCCTCCCCACTCCCCCCCCACCTCACCGGTGCTGGAAAGGGGGTGTATCTCTTTGGGGCCAAGGCCGTGGCCACCAGGGCCCCTGGGGCACTTCATTCAGGGAGCCTGTGCACGCAGATGGTTTCTACCCACTCTCGGGGGCAGCCCAGTGCTGAGGG